TCTTTTCTTTAGGGCCCCGAAGGTGACGTCCAGGCGCCCTCAAACCCCAGATGGCCATTGGAATCCCCAAAGTCCAAATTCATCGAGTCATGTCACTACCACTGCCCCTGCAGCACCCCAGCCCACCACGACCGTGCATAGTGCTTGCATTCCCCTACCTTCAGGTTCCTGAGACTAGAACGCCCATCTTCCGTCCACCGACGGGCATTAGCCCCACATCGTACCCCTCCCTCCTCTCCTCCTCACCCCCGTCCACGCCCATCTTCCGTCTCATCTCTTCCGTCGAGCCGCCACTGGCACTACACACACGCCTTCAGTTGCACGTGCTACACTCCTCCCGAAAGGGGGTCGGCGGCACCCGGGCGAAGCCCTTACAATATATATACATGAAAACGCAACAATGAGCAGAGATTCAGGATAAAATTGTATTCTCACAGCGTCCGCCTTGGACCCTTCATAATGCTATCACTGAGTGAGAGGGCTGGCTCAAACTCTTATCAGGAGCTCAAGAAGTCGGCTCTTTGTGATCAGCCTTCCTTTTGCGGAGCATCCAAACCATCAATAAGTGATTCAATGCTTGTCTGCCCCTCGAGTTAACTCAGGCCTTCCCCCGAATATCGCCATAGCATGCTACCATGCATGGGGCTATTGCCACTTAACAAGCTTGCTCAGCCTCGTACAGTGCCGTTTGCTGCTCTCACCAGCTCAGTGACACATCCTTAGATTTGCAAACAGGGAGATCGCCGGAAAGTGTCCGGTGGCTCTAGCTCTCCCACAGAGTTCTTTCACTGTCGTCAGTGTCCGGAAACATCACGCTTCGCACATTCATCGCTGTTGCCATCCCAACATTCCAACATGAGTAGGAATATTCAATGCTTGAAACAATTATCCTTGCAATGTCGCCTCAGTCTCAGTCTGGAGTGCATAATAACCCCACATAAAATCGATAGCCCCGAAAGCGGCTATAGTGTCAGTCTGCAGGGCTTTGGCATTGTCATCTTGACTTGTTTTCTACATGTTTTGCAACATTACTGTTAGCCTGCAAATTCGTCCCAAAGGCTCTGCAAAGCAACTCTTTCACTTGAAAATGCATGAACAGGTCCCCTGCCAAGGGAATGACTAACATAGTTTTCCTATGTTTTCCTGCTCTTGTCGTTTTCTTGGGACCTACCTTTTTAACCTGTGAGGAGCGTTGTTTGTTGTACCAACTCACTACTCTACTCCCTCCGGGCTTCGGCCTAAGCCTAGCCTTGCCTAGCAACTAGCATGAAATGCGGAGATTGTCTCGAAGTCTAGTCTTAAACGGCACCAAGCTGGCTAGGCATAGCTAGAGAATGTTGCCTGATGATAAATTTGTGAGATTGCTGAAAATGAAAAGGCTGACACTGACACCCTCCCCGCGAGAACATTAGAACAACAACTACAACGATTGAACCAAATAAGCAAATATGTTCTGTGTGGAGGGAGAATCTGAGTCTGCTACACACCGACCTCCAACTGAGGGCGCTGGCTCTCACCATTGGACATGATCTGCGTAACATCTTCCTTCATAACCTTCCCTGTACCTGGTCTGTTTGTGGTTGACTGGATCGCGGATCGCATGGTTTGGATCCGTCAAGTTTCAAAATGTCTAGATTCAAGGAGGTGCAAGCCTTGCAATGCGGCTATTCTACACCAAATTGCAACTACTGTAGAAATTGCTATATTATAAATCATATATCCGTATATTATATATATATTATATTATACGTATATATACAAAATTAAATACACATAATTGAATAATTTGGAGTTCGCGTGCGATGGTCTCAAAGCCAACACTGATCAGCAATCGTCTCTGTCAGCTAACCAGCATTGTTTCAGTTCGCCTGGCATGTTTGAAAGGCTGTGCAGCAGCTCTTTCATAAGTCCAGCCTTAGTTTTGGCATCGGAACCTTCAATACTAGTAGCGTGAGACAGTTTCGGTCTCTTTCACACTTTGAGTCAAATTATAAAAATAGCAAGTTCAATAGAACATGCAAGACTCAACTGTGCTGGTTTAGCGGTGTTGCTCGAGCTACGGGCTTCCCCGGAGGCACCGCGCGGTAAAGACAGTAACAATTGTTTTGTTTGCGTTTTTACCGTTTTCTCTGCGCCGGCGCGAGCGGGTACCCCTTGGCCCCTTGGCAAAACAACGCACGCGAACCGGCTTAGCGAGACTCAAGCTCGCCCCAAACCCACATGCACATGTCTCGCAGTTTGGACGACAAACAGCACTGCTTGATATACTTAGGCGGTGCTCAACACCAATGCAACAAAATCCTACAGGTACAAGTAGTTCAACCGTTCAGTAGCAATTGTCCGACCACCCGGCAAAGGAGAAGCTACTGTAAGGATGTTGGTGCAGCTTGGGAGATTGCGTATGTTGTTTTCAGTTGTGAGACACTGAATCAAATTTACAATGGCCTTTGGATATGCCAGGGCCGATATATACCAGTATATAAATTGTTTTTCCTGCAAGTCCGATTGTCACCTTCCGCGAGAAGTCTCTTCTCAAGTCATTTTGAAGGAAACATGGTTAATGGTTTCCCTATGTTTCCCCAAGTGAGTCGACTCAAGAGGGGAAGGCAAACGAGACCAAAGAGGCAACGTGACAAGGCGACAGCGAGAGAAAAAGAGAGAGAGAGAGAGAAAGAGAGAACAAAGGAAAACACATAAAAACAAAAAAGGGGGAGGGAGGGAGGGCAACTCAAAGTTTCAGCCAACAAGGGTTGCCGGCCCCGTGGAAGCAGGAAATGCAAACCAAAAAAATGCCTTCAAACTGAAACAACGAGACTGGCAAACAGGGTGCAACTGTATACACCAGGGCGGCACATGAGTAGCAAGCATAAGCAAACAACTGTTTGTTGCGAACACACCTCATAGAGCAAACAGCAAACATCACGTCAAAAAAACAAATTGCCCTCCAAGCCCTTGCCAAGCAGGAGTTGCCCTCAATGTGTCCCTTTCTTTCTGGTGCCAGCTGGTAAAAAAGAAAAGAATTCGACCAGCTTCTGCACGATCCTTCTATAAAAGACAGGAAATCTGCAAGATCTCAAAAGCGCGCGGGACGCCTTTTCACGCGGGTGAACTCTTGAGCCTGTTCGGCATGTTTACATGACATGTAGCATGGGTATGCACACCAACTGCTTGTCACCCTGCTTTCATTTCTTGAAAGCTTCGAGAAATGACCCGGTCAAGTCTCTAGGATTTCAGGTGTCTTAAACACCATTCATGAAAATTCGAATTCAGCTTCCACAAAGCGAGGGCTTTCTCTTTCCCTTGGCCTTGCCGCCACTTGCATCTCCATCTTCATATGTCTCTCCTTCATCTTTAGTTCTTGGCTTTCCTTTGGTATACGGCCCTGAGCTCTGAGCCCTTGAGCCTTTCTCTCCTGGATTCTTCTGCTTTCCAACTTCTTTCGACTTCGACTTTCCTTCACCTTTCACTCCTTTCTGCTCGCTGCGCTTTGGGCTTGCTTGGCTTTCAATCTTAGAGCCTTCAAAACTTTCATCTTCCACTATACTGTCTCTCTCTCTTCGGTCATTGGGTCCTCTGTACCCAACTCTGTCTGGCACTCCATATGGAACACAGTTCACGCTCCCCCATCCATCTGGCCACCTTGACTCTTCCAGAGGTAGGTTCTGGTCTTCGTGGCCTTCTCTGATGCGGTAAACGTACTGCCTCATAGTCCACATGTAGTTGATCACTCTCTTCCTTCCTTTTGCTCCTCCACACTGCACATCTCTGAAGCAACTCATGAAGGTATCAAAGGCATCATCTATTGTTTCGTCATTCGGGTTGTCTAGCTTCAGCTGTCTGAACGTTCGAAGCTTCTCCATCAAGTAGATTTCAATGCCAATTCCTCTGATCACGTTCATCCTGTAGTCTTCATATTTAGAGTCGCTCAAGTATTCATAGTCCCAATCCTACTCATAGCTTCCCTCCAAGCTACCATAGTCTGTCGGGGCTTCTGATGGAACATACGACTCATTCGAAGCTACTTCTCATCTAGTTGTCTTCCAAGGAATGATGCAACTGTCTCAAATATCCTTCGCTGCTGTACTGGTCCATTGTCTGGTCCTTGTACCGGTCTTGCTTCTTGTAAACCTCGAGCCGGTTCATCTTCTACCTCTTCCTGAACTTCTTCTTCTCCTAACTTCACCATTCTGATATGGGCATGCAACTGTCCAACCTCATGCAGCCCTGGTGGGTCTTCTGCTCGCTGCTCTTGTCCTTGTTCCTCTTCCTCCTCTTCTTCTTCTTCTTCCCAACCTTCATTCCTACTTCTTGCATGCCGGGGTACGGTAGTCACAACTTGATTGAGCGGGAGCCCTGAATCTCCTGCCCAAATCACCCATCCTCGCTGCATCCGATCAGCATTCGGGCTGATATCAGGCAGATTGGTATAGCCATACCGGGCCATACCCTGAATCATTCTCACTCCCCTCATCTGCAACTTCACCGAGCCTCCTCCTCTCTTCGCTACTCCACCTCCTACAACTCCTCAAGTAGTCCCATGAATTTCGGTGTTGCGATAGCTCTCTCGCCATCTCCCGAAGAATCCCTGACAACACGCACACGCCAGCTATCAATGCAAGAATCACCAAACAAAGGATCATGATGATCAACTCCAACCTGATCACTTCGTCTCTGTTGATCTGCAATGCTGGACATTGTTTCTCTTCTCCATCACCCGCAGCCTGACTCAAGGCAGGCTACATCTGCCAGCAACGCACCTAGCGTCAACCTCGTCAGCTTCTTTGCAATCTGGCTTGCTGCTGTTGAACTCTTCAACTCCAAGTCAAGCTCGCCGTCATCATCCTCAAAGCTCAACAAATAAAGACGCATTCTAGCGGGTCTTCCTTGAAGGATCTTGGTCCCCAAATCTGCCGGGCTCGTCATTGCGTCATTTCGACGAAGACACAAATCCTTGCCCTGCCTTTGTTGGAGCCAATCTCCCTGACTGACAAGTGCTTGATCTCCCCACAACTCCTTATCAATCACCAACTGCACCTTCTGTTGCGTCAGATGCTCAACTGCTGCTTTCACCAGCAATCCTTCTGAAGCTCCAGAAACCAATGCCACATACTCTGACTCTGCGCTGCTCAACGTGATGCGCTTCTGCATTCTCGAGTATGCATGAATGCAGTTGCCTCCAAGGAAAATGCATCCGCGTGATGTGGAACTTCTGCTCTTCTTGTTTCCTGACCAGTCTGAATCACATGCAACTTCAAGCAACCTCTTCATAGATGGGAACTGAAGTCAATCCTCGAGCTCGTCCTTGCCAGTGTTACAGAAAAGTATCCAGCCAACTTCAACAATGAGCTCCAACTTCTGTGGGCTTCTGCAAATGACCTGCCAACTCTTTGGCCAGATACTGGATGTCTGGTCTCTCTCTTGCAATGTACAGTAGTGTACCAACTCCACTTCGGTATGCACCAACCCTTTCATCACTTTCCTTGATCTCTGTCTCATCGACGACCAAGGCAGTGCTCGCGCTTTCACTCCTCCACACTTCGAAAGCAGTCGTCAACATGAACAAGCAGGACGACACCTTCTCCCCTCCAAAGTGTTGGAGCCTCTGGACACGGTTCCAATCCTCCTCGCTTCAATGTCGACTTCAACTCTTGAAACCACTGCGCTGCACCCTCTCTCTGCCCTGGCAACACCTTGAGGATCCATTGCTCTGGTAGTCCAAGGCGCTCAGCAAGTGCGCTGCCCAAAGAAGCTTTTACCTGCTTTGGTTGACTGCACATGAGGTATAGGCATCTCATAGTCATCATCTGCCACCCTTTCACCTGACAGATAGCTGGAACCAACCTCAAGAGTGACTGTCCACCTGGGGCTCGGTTGGGGTCCTCCCAACCGAAATCTCTTGCCACCAACCTTGCCCTTCTCTTCCACTTCTCTTCACGCCACCTCCAGTCCATGACCAGTTGCGCGGTCAGAAGCGGGATCTCGTCTAACTCCTCTCCAGATTCTGGTTGCCTCAAGACACCCATATAATGACCAAACTCACAACCTCCTCTTCGGTGCCTGCATCTTCAATCTTGGCTAGCAAAATGGGATCAAGCTCAGGTGGATGATCTGGGAACGACAATGGCTCATCCCCATCCTCTAGGATCTCACCTGCTACGACCATTCTGATTGGTTGCGTCGATGCTGCAATGGCATCAACTCTCGCTTCACTCTCACTTGGCCGTCCTGGTGAGCTCTCTGGCGTCATCTTCAAGGCGTTATGCGGAGGGCTTGCTTCAGGCGCTTCTCCTTCACTTCTTTTCTCTCCTCCTGCTCCGGATTCGCGTATTGAGTCTTTCTCCAAGCTGTCCATCAAATCCTGCAACAAAGTGTCATCTCCAATCTCCACATCACCAGTATTTGCAACGCTTGGACTACAATCTCAACTCAGAGGATCTGAAGCTGCCTCGTCTTCAAGCACCCCTGCCTGCCTTCGACGCTCCTTTGCCTCTTTGAACATCTGGCTTCTCCTTCTTTGCCTCACGCTCTCTTCTGGCTTCATCTCTTTCCACTGCTCTGATCTCTGGAACCATAGCTGGTGGTAGCGGCACTGATGCAGGGCTTCTGCCTCAAATGGACTTGGCAATCTCCTGATGGTGCGTGTCCACTTCAATCCCTTTGCCGTTGCCACCATGTGGAAGTCTGCCCGATCTGTTTTGCCAAGCCAGCAACCAACTTCAACCTTGTCGTCACCATTCGCTCCTCTGACCTTAGCCACCGCCTTTTCTCCTGTAGTGAGTTAGCAACCATCCTGCATTGTACAAACTCCTTGATTCTTCACACTCGTCTCCCAGTACTGTGTCTTCAACATCAAGTCTTTGCATTCGCCATCCGGTCTGGGCCAGCATCCGCGCGCTGGCAACTCCAGAGTAGAAGTTCTATACATTTTGTTCCGGTCCCAGTCAGCTAGTGTGTCCTTCTTCTCGCAAGATCTTGCTAGCAGTTCTTTACGTTTTGCCAAGTTGAGCTAGTGTCCGCCTTTTTGCGCTGGCATGCCCGCCTTCTGGCAACTCCCTAGTCGCAGTTCTATATTATCTATTTGTTTTCCAGTCTGGCTAGCGTGACTGCATCCGCCTCCTGGCAAAGGCGATACCTTCCCATGGTCATCCATCGAGATGCAGATCAACTGTTTGGGATCCGTAATGTTTTTTGGCATGTTTTTCTTGGAAGCCACCCCTTCCTGGTCCAAGATCTCAAGAAAAATGCAAAAGCGCCACAAGTTGAAAACATAAAATTTGGTGTTTGTCAAAAACCCTAATATGTACGATTTATTTTGCCTAGCACCCTTGATTTGCTATTTTAACTAGCTGCTTTCCTTTTTGGACCTTGATTGATTAGTTTCCTCGGGCGTTGTTTGGTTGCTTTGTGGTTTTTCAGCTCCTTTCAAACTAAACTGACCTTTTCCATTGCTGCTACCTTTCCTTGATTGATATGTTCCACTATTTCTGTGGCTCTATTGTTGGCTTACGTTTTGTTTTCCTCAAACAGTGCAGCAACACTAGAACTTTACAGTAAGTGTCAAGGCCGGGCGTTGGTCTGCTCGCGGCCGGCGGCGGCTAATTCGCTGCTCTTTACGCTAGGATTCATTCACCTCAAGATCTTTGACATGTGTTTCGACTGCGCAAGCTCGCAGAATCGGTGGGCCTGGTGGGCGCGAGCAGGCGCTTTCCTCGACTCTACTCTCGTTGTGGTGCCGTGCGGGTGTTTGGACTTGGTGATGACCTTCCGTGGCGCGTGCAAGGGAACCCTTGTGCTTTGGTGGTCCATAGTTGATTTTTCGCGGCAAGCGGTTTACATGGATGCGCAATCTTCTTGGCAGGCGCGGCGCTTTGTAGACATTGGTGGTCTTCGGCGTGGGACATTGAGTTTGCTTTCAGAAATTTATGTTCGATTTTTCTAGGCCTCTAGAACTCTAGACTTCTGGATCTCTCTGGATCTCAAAAGGCCTGTAGACCTTTCTAGACCTCAAGATGTCTCTAGAACTCTCAAGACCTCTAGATCTCCAGCCTGAAGACCTCTCCGGATCTCAAGAGCTCTAGGCCCGAGATGTCTAAATCTCTAGGCATTTAGATCTGTCTACACCTTTTGATCTCTATCAGGATCTCTAGACCTCTCTACATCTCTAGATCTGTCTGGAGCCCAATGCCTTCTGCTTCTACACCTCTAGACCTTAGACCTCTAGACCTCAAAACACTGTTTGGGGTCTCTGGCCGGGATAATCGTTTCCCTTCCTTTTCATTTGTCTAGTCTGTTCTATTTCAGCCTGAGCTGTTCCTCTGCTCAAGAGGCTTCTCTCTTAGACAAGCAAATACTGTATATACTTATTTCTTGCTTGGCTCTTACTATGATTGGATTCTGAGTACCAATGATAAAAGGACATGCAATAGAAGGAGCGAGGCCAGAGACATAAAAGGTTTGATTGACCGCTCTCATTGTTATGTCATTCAGTTACCTTGTTCATTTAATTAAACAATGACTCTTCCCTTATTGCACAGGCTGTTGATTGTAGATGAAACCATTGCAGAGCGTTGATTTATTGGACACAAACTTCTAAAGTGGTGATCCTTGCTAAGGGACAACTTGGAACAACCTTTTGTAAACTATAAATGTTGGATCCTCTTTAATGGAAGACACCGTGCTCACTCATACACATGCATTATTTATACAATCAGAATCTGATCAAGAATCATAATTTCAGAAAGGAGAAGAGCAGTGTATGATACAGGAGGGATTTGGATAAGGCAGAATGCATGTAGCCGTAGGCTCCACAAAGGATGGCGTGCTTCTACAACTGTGGAGGCACGTTTGATAAAAAGACCTTTTGAAAATCAACTGGTTACAAAAATAGTCTTGTTATAAAGAAAAATGAAGGAAGGGAAATATACTCAAAAGACCGGTCCTCAAATTTGAGTTATCTAGATAAATTTAAGAAACATTATAAGACTCTACACATGTCAAATGATCGAATGCAACATCACAAGTGCTAAAAGGGTGCACTGACCTCCCGGACTCTAGAAATATTGCTCCTTTCTGTATCTGGCAAAGACATGTTTCATCCTGTTTCCACAAGCAGCCACCAACTACCAGTAAAAGTTCATAGCGCTGGCCCGATTTTCTTGAGGCCCGAGCTCTTCCTTCATGCTTCGCCTTGGCTTCTTCCACTGCTTCTTCCATGCCTTGCACAACCTGTCCAATGGAACGCAGAAATGTCCTTAAATATGTATTTTGTATACTTGACATATCAATCAGAATTTCATTGAGTTAGTCGCCTCTCCAATCTCTGAAGCCTGTTCTGCTGCCTTCTTGAAAGCCTCCTGTCAAACAAATGAGTTGGGGATGTAGCAGCCGACCTATTACTATTACTGTAGTCGATCTTAGAACTACTCGTAGATCTGCTAGTACTACAGCACGAGTCTTTCGACAACTTTTCTGAGCTAGGCTGAATTCACTTGAGAGAGGAGGGGGTGAACGAAAGGTAGCAGGCAATCACAAGTAACCCTGGTAGAAGTTCATGACAGCGTCAAAGGTGGATGGATGTGACCCAAACAGCGACGGCGCAGGGGGGGAGGGGCCACGGCCCCCCCCCCGTCGAACAGAATCCCTTCTTACGGGACCAAATTCAATGCATGATCCCAACTCCAGATTGTAATACATTTTTGCTAACGCAAGGAGAACTCAGGCAGGTCAAGCTACCTTTCGTGACATTTGTCGGGTCACCCTGACCACAGATCAAGAGTCCACAAACTCGCCTTGTTTGCTGGCCTTATCCCCATGCCTCACTGGTGGAAATTGTGTGCACATGTGTGCAGCAAGACCATGACCATGACTTTCTCTCCGTGTTCTTGAAGCGACTCTACCAACTTCTGAATGTTTCCAAGCAGATCGATTGGACTTGATTCTCGCTCTTGTGTGACCTGCGCATACCTGTGAGGCTTGGGAGGAATCAAAATTCACATGCCTACTAAATGCCCTTTAAAATCATGTGAGTGTCAGCATGTATTCAATTTCTAAACTCAAATACACTATATATATATATGTACTGTGCGAGCGCCCTATCTCGTTTAGACTACTCCGGTGAAAAA